CCCCTTCCCTATTGCCCCACTGCCCTTCCCCACCCCCCGTCCCCCCACTGCCCTTCCCCAGCCCCCAACCCTCGCCCCACGGCCCTGACGGCTGCCCCCCACCCCAGCACCTGCCTGCACGGCCGCCTGCGCTGCTCGGAGCCGGGGTGCCGGCGGGACGGGGGGTTCGGGCCCTGGGGCCCCTGGAGCCCCTGTTCCCCCACTTGTGGGGGGCTGGGGGTGATGACCCGATGGCGGGGCTGCACCAGCCCCCCACCCGCCAACGGGGGCCGGGACTGTGAGGGACCCCGCAGCGACAGCAAGTACTGCCAGACCCCCGACTGCCCCGGTGGGTCACAGCCCCTCTTCTGTGGGTCACAGCCCCATCCCTGTCCCCTCTGCCGTGGGTCCCAGCTTCAGCCCTGTCCCCTCTGCCCTGCTGTGGGTCTCAGCCCTGTCTCCATGTTGTGCTGTGGGTCACAGCCCATCCTCAGCCCCTCTGTCCTGCTGTGGGTCCCAGCCACATCCCTGTCCCCTCTCTGTGGGTCCCAGCCTCAGCCCCATCCCCTCTGCCCTGCTGTGGGTCCCAGCCCTGTCCCCATGTCATGCTGTGGGTCACAGCCCCATACCTGTCCCCTCTGCCATGGGTCACAGACCCTTTCCTCTCCCCATCCCCATCTCCTCTGCCCCACGGGGCTGTGGGTCCCACTGCCCCAGCCCAGTGTGGGGGCTGATTCCTGCCCGGGTGTGGGGTCTGGGGGGGGGTTTGGGGGTGTCACCCCCTTTTCTCTCCCCGTGCAGTGACGGCTGTCCCCACCCTGGAGCTCAGACCCACCACCCCAGGTGAGGGCTGTGCCGTGGTGGGAGGAACACCACCTGGGGACCCCCAAACTGGGGGGGCCTCTGGGATGGGGGGGGGGGTCTCATGGGGGGCCTTCATCCCGGGCCAGGCACTGAGGAAGAGGAGGCCTTTGGCCCCTGGTCCCCCTGGACCCCCTGCTCCAAGACCTGCACCCGCCCCGAGGCTCCGGCCACCAAGAGCCGCAACCGGACCTGCAGCCGGGAGGGGGGCTGCGGGGGGGGCACCATCCAGCAGCTGCCCTGCAACCTGCCCCACTGCGCAGGTGAGATGGGGGTCCTGCCCCACAGCAGTGGGATGGGGGGCGGGA